CGGTTTGTATAAGATTTTTCAGTAGAGAAATATTCACTCTTTTAAATTTCTTGTATTGTATATTAAAGGAGTAGAAATTCTGGTGGTAATAAATTGAAGAATATATTTTATTTTCTACTTAATTGTTCCTGAAGTCTTTCTTAAAATTAAAAAAAAAAAGTAGTCTATCATCTTCAATTTCTGCTACTAAACATACTAATCATTGAACAATTCAATATTTCATAGTACGTCATTATATTCGCGCAATGGCATAATACCACTATTACTATTCAATTATTATTTTCCTTACCCAACCAACAAACCATTTGATAGGCATTTCGGTATTTCGATTTAACGTTGTCGTAGATATCGAAACTTCAAACGGACACCTGGACTCTTACTTGCCGATAGGTCAATGAAACATGAAGCTTTACGAGCAACAGAACGATTTTTACCGATAGATCAAAATTTCTTCAAAGAAAAAAGGATTTTTTTCTATAGATGTTTCATTCTGGAGTAGTCGAAACCTATCGAGAAAATCCTGAGAAGGAGAGAGACAAACATGGGCACTTACGATTAACATTTGTGAAACATCTAAACAAGATATGAACTATCGTTGGTCTATGAAAGTTATCTTTTCAATTCTTAAAAAGATAATACTTTCAAGATTGTTATTTTAACATTTGCTAATAGTTTTCGAAAATCAAGAAAAATGATTTAATCGAATGAAAACATCTTTTGCATGTCTCTCGCTATAGAAAAGATTTTTTTAGAGTCTCAGATGTTATATAAGGAACTTATTTGATAAATAAAGCATTTGAAAAATAATTGATTTGTTTGATAAAGTAACAAACCAATATTACAAATATTTTTCAAACATTTAAAATGCAAAATTCGTTATAGTTATGTTTGTTACCAAAAATGCCTCTAAATTTTAATCTTATTTGTTGTTTTTCATCAGTTACTATTAAATATTTTTTCAAAAAATAATCAAATTCAAGAAAATCTATATTGAACATAAATCTAAATGGAAAAGACCATTGTAAATCAGTTTTCGAAGTAGTTTCACGAAAATCAAATCAATTTCGCTTCTACTAGAGCACTCAATAATTTGACTTCGATATGTTTCTTTTCTCGAGTACTCGAAATTTCGATGAGTATCGAAGGATTTAAAGTACTTGAGTACTTGTAAATGAATTTTTCGATAGGATACAGAAGTCAAGTGGTCGTAACCCGATGGCTATGAAATCGTAATAGAACGAACAAAACTTACATATATTTCAAATTTTCGAGCGCTCTTGTCATCTATCATTAGTCTTTTTTAAAGTCTGTTTGCGTAAATCTATGAACATCTAGTATATTTCCAATCAATTTATTTTATGTTTTAAGACCTAACATTCAATTTTCACTTTATTAGAGCATATTATTCATCTTGAAATGAACCATTCTCTAATATACAATAATGCATCATTGACACTAAGTTTCTTCTATTTGACATTGAATTAATTATAATCTGATTATTTTTTTGTCTAATCTTCAATGGCAGAATCCTCTGATTTACTTCTATTGATTATGAAATATTTCAATTATCGTACACAGAAATATATATAAAGAGGTGGTGAGTATGTTAATAGAATTGTTAATTTGTACTGATATTCAATGTACAACACATTCATTTTTTTTATGAACAATGTTTACAATCTTTCATGTATCATTGAATTCTTCTTTAACATTTCCGAAAAATAGAAGAAAACTATAAGACAAAAACTAAAATGTATTCAAAATTTCATATGAAAACATAATCAGTAAGAACGATGATTGAATTCTAATCTTATTTATGTGAATATTACTGAATATATATATATATAAATATGTGTGAGTTGTTCATTTTTAAATCATAGTTTTCGTTATGACATTATTCATGCTTTATTCGTTAATGCCGTTAAAGCTATTTGTGCTTCCATGTCAGCTTCAGTTTCTTTTTTACGTTTCTTTTCTATTGACATATTTGTTTTGCCGACATCAAATGATATAACACAATAATGTTCATAAATAAGTATAATAACAGTCAATGATAAAACAATAATTAGACATAAGACTTGCATAGAAAATGGAATATAAACTTGTTCAACAAATGCTATAGCTGTAGAACCTGATTGAAATAGTTTTAAACATGCAAAAGCATCTGCTGGTCGTGTTTCGCCATAAATACTAGCTACGATAGAATATAATAGTGTCCCAAATATTGCATCACCTATACTTAAACCAGTAAGTAATATAACAAATATTTCAGTATGACTTTCATCCAATGATGCTTTCCATATTGTTAATAAAAGTCCAAAAATGATCATATGAGCAAGTGCACCAATAATAAAAATAAAAAGACGACGACCAATTAAATCACTTAGTTTTCCAACAAAGATAAAACTAAAAGAACTAATTGTACCAAATAAAGCAAACATTAAATATTTTCGACTTTTATCAACAATTAATGGAGGTATAGTAGCAAAAATAAATCCTTGAGATAGACCATTATAACACATAGCAGGAATAAGTAAAACAAAACGAATATCAAGAAGTATTGATAAACTGGATAAAATCGATCGTTCTTCTAATAAATATAAAATAAAAATATTAGTTACACAATATAAAATATACAATGTTTTACTTTTTATTTTTGGTATTTTTATATTTCGAAGAAAAATTAAACTCAACATTCCTAATCCAGCAATACTTGTCATTATTGTAAAAATAATCCATTGATCAAAATTTAAATGAAATAAAAATGAAACAAGCAAGTTTCCAATAATTTGATGTAATTGAAAAAGACCAAAAAATATACCATTCATAAAACCTCTTGTTGATGATGGTATTAAATTATTTATTTGTTCATGTTTATTTGTTGATATCGTAACATAGACACCTTGAGCTGTCCATAATAAAGCTGCACCAAAACCAAGTAAGAATGCACATATGTATAATGTCCATTTATTATATTTTATATTACAAGCAATAAATAATACATATGTTAGACTCGAAAGAATTAATGTTAACCGTACACCTAATAATTGAGTTATATATGGTGATAGAGCTAAATTTCCGAAACAAAATACTAGATAAATAATGCCTATTGCAAATGCCCCATCTTTAGCATAATCTGATGATGTTTGAAATGTTTGTGTAACATTATAAGACATAAAAATAAGAAAAAACGATAAACTTAAATGAATTATATTATAAAGATTTGACCGATCCATTTATTTTTTTAATAAATAATATAATATAATAATACTTGTTTTTTTACATACGAATCTTGTTCGATTATTTTGCTTTTCTTTTGCTTATTTAATAGAGAGGGATCAATTTTTTTCTTCGATAACGTATCCTATGTCGGTAAAGGTAAAATAGCGACAGGAAATTTCAAAACACATGCACACACATATAACTGATAACAAAAAACAAATCAATGATAGATAGCTGATAAGTTTGTAAAAGAAAATACTTTTTTTTTTTTGTTATGTTTTATTTGCAATTTTAATAAAGACATGTCATCAGATAAAAAAACAAACTTAGCTAAATAAATTTTGATTGTTGACATGCATATTCAATGAAATTCTTTAGATTAAGTTTAAACAAATTAGACACAATGAAATAAAATTGATACATATTAATAAATAACACGAAAAGAAAAATATATTTGTAATAACTCTTCATTTAGTTTTCTCTTTATCATAATAATAAGTTTTGTAAATATATTCCTTTCTATAAAAGAAACCTAATGCATGTTCTACTCTATCAATCATTTGAAATAATCAACAACAAAAAAAAAACTCTAATAAGAATATATAGAATCAATATTTCCATCATATTATTATAAAGATGTAAATGATATTTGAAGGTACGAAAAAAAACAAAAAAATCAGTAAATTCTCATGTTATCGTATATTGTGAAGATAGATCGAAACAAAAAAAACGAAGATCATCATTTCGATCATTACTTTCAATTCTTTTGTACAAGAATCTTTCAAATAAGTACTAATTACAATTATTGTTAATGTTGAACGATATTTATTAAATCAACATTTTCTTTTTTTTTATATAAATATTTCTCATTGTTTGGTTTTTCAATATTATCTAGTAAACATCACTTAGATATGTCATATAATCATCAATAAACATTTTATGTTTCTCTCAAGCAAAACAGATAAATATATTTTTATTAATCAGTCCGATCGTTTGGAAAATATATCTCCGAAAAAAAACAAAAATTAGATAGTCATATTTTAGCTTGAAGGAATAATCGATGTTTGCAAAGAATATTTGCATATCGGTTCTAATCGAATTGCATGATTTAGAATCGATCAGTTTTCAATGACATTTGTATTAATTAGTCATTCATTTTTTTCTTAATTGAATATTTACAATAAAAAACTAATAAGAACTTCAATATTTGATCAATACTAATTATTTAATCTGATATCAGTTGTATGGTTTATTGTCGAATTACTAATGTGATTTTAGTGGCATCTGTTAGTGTTTATAGACAAGAAGAGTACAAAGACAGAAAGAACAACATTAAGATTTCACACTTAATTTCTCTTTTTTCTTTTGATTCACATAATTTCACTTTCAAAAAACAAAAAAAAAACAAACAAACAGTAATTTTTTCAAACTACCAGAGAAAAAAATGCACAAATCAAAATCGAAAAAAAAAAAGACAAAAATTTGTCATTTTATTTTGTTTCGTTTTTTAATAATTTTTTAAATTCTTCAGATGTACAAAGATAAGAAAAAAAGATACAGACATAGAAAGAAAAACAACACAAACACATCATTATTACCATTCTAAATTTGAATTCATTAAGACACCCGGAACTTTTCGTTAATCAATTTTGCACAAAATTAAACGCACCTATTGATGTATATGTATATATAAATTGCGATGAATAAACAGTTTTTATGTAGATAATTATTACAGTGGATGGATTATCAAACAAGCAAAAAAAAAAAAATCATACAAATCAGGAAGACATTATGGAAGAATTGATACGTTTAAGCCATTCGAGTACTTGACTAAATGATGGTCGTCGATCAGGATCAGCTTGCCAAGCTTGACGCATAATATCACCTACTTCTTGTGGACAACCATCTGGTGGTTCCATTCTATGACCTTGTTTTAAATTGAGCAATACATCATTAGCAGGCTAAATAATATACAAAACTAAAAAATTTGTGTTTTTTTTGTTTTTTAATAAAATAGAAAAACTAACAATACGAGGATAAGGACATCGTCCATAAGAGAAAACTTCCCAAAGAAGAATACCAAATGACCACATATCACTTTTATGTGTATATCGCTAAATAAAATAAAATCTTGTGTTTTTCTACAAAAAAAAAAATATAGTTTACTTTTGATTCAAGTGCTTCTGGTGCTGTCCATTTTGTTCTACATTTAATTTTTTCTGTTATTATTATATTACCATTTGAATCTTTATTTCCATTCTCCTTTCCTGTTGTTTCAACAAATTTTGCTAAACCAAAATCAGATACTTTAGCTGTATTATCATCAGCAATTAATACATTGCTTGCAGCAACATCACGATGTACAATATGATTTTCTTCTAAATAGGTTAAACCTTCACATGTATCACTAAACATAAATAACAAATTTTGAATTATTTATTATAAGAATATTTATTTTCTTTTTTCTTTTGAAATTTACATTGAAAAACCAAGTAAATCTTTTTGAGAAATAACTGATCGACCACGTGTTGTTAAATAATGAAGAAGTGAACCTTTAGCCATAAATTCTGTAACAATATAAATAATATTATCTGGTTTTTGTGCTACACCCAAAAAATGAACTAGATTTCGATGTTTTAATGAACTGAAAAGAAAAATAAATTAACAAATATTTATTTATATATATATATACCTCATAATATCAGCTTCATGACGAAAAAGAGCTGCTGAAGTTGCTTCCTTTAGTACTTTAATAGCAACACGAACTTTTCTGTATGTACCTTCATAAACCTCTATAAAAAAAAAACAAAAATATTCAATTATACATTCGTCAACAATATTTCACTTTTCTCTTCTCCTTTTATGCTATATCAAATATTACAATTTTAAAATTATTATATAATTAAAAATATAGTATAAGACTGATCAGTATGAACATTTTATATTATTAATCAATTGTTATAAAAAGACTTAATAAGTAGAATTCTGTAATTTGTTTAATTGATTTTAAAAATCTATTTTAATTTTCAATAAAAAAAAAAAAAATGTCAAGTCATGTATATAAATCTAGATAAGACAAGAAGAGAAAATAATCAAATTATAAAGCATGCTATTAAGCAATTCTTACGTAATAATATTCAATGAATAGATTATTTATCGTAATCAGTCTTATGCTATATTACAATAAACTTCATTCTTATAAAATATGATACATTAAACATGAAATAAAAATTTACCAGCAAATTCTCCTGATCCAACAAGTTTTCCAAGATGAAGTTCTCTATAATCAATTGTCGATGAAGTTTGACATGAAATAACAACTACTGATGGTGATTGTTGTTGTTGTTGTTGTTGAACTGTTCCTCCAACTTTAATTGAATCAACTGTATCTTGTTTATTATTCAATGCTTTTTCTAATCGACAACATAAACCATCAGCATCAAGTTCATAATGCTATTTTTATTTTAATAGAGAAGAAATTTAATTTATTGAAAAACTTTTATTTATTCAAACCTCAACAAGTAAACGAAGATCAGGAAAAAATATTTCATCATCAACTGTATATGTATGTCGTATTGGATCGAGTTTAACTCTATAATGTTGAATTTTTGCATCATCTTTTATTGATAATGTTAAATCTCCTGGATAATGTTCACTTTCACGTATAAGAAATGTTCCAACAAGTTCATCAATTAATAACTGTTCAGCACGTACTCGTGGTAATTTACCAAAATTCCAACTATATGATGATGAAGATGTTTTTAATTGTGATTTTGGTGACCTAATCATCAATAATACGATTTTATTTCATTTTTTTTCTCCTACTTTCTATCGAAAAAAATAAAAAATGTCTTACGGCACTTTGACAATGGTAGGTGCCAAAGTTTCATCGTCGTTCACCATCGATGAAAATGTACACGGATATAAAGGTAAAAAAGAAAACGTGCCAAGATCTATTAAACAAATGAACGAACGAATGAAAACAAATATAAAGAATAGAAATAAATAATGCAGAAGTTCAATTAGATTTTTATCAATGGTGTTTTATATTAACCAATAATATTTGTTAAAATCTATTCATTTATGCATTTAAAACTGTCTAGATTATCCTCCTCTGTCAGACATCGATCAATACATAAAAATGGCCACTATCATCTTCTATATGATTGCTCCGTTCGTCGATACGGACAGATATATTATATATATATTGATTGATCAATCTATGTTTCTTTTGTTTTATTATCTGACATTCTAGATTATCATATTTCAATTTTTCGTTCATATTTTTTATTTTAACTTTATTGAAATAAAATAATTTCGTTCTTTTTTTTTAAACAGAGAATTATGATCTAAAAGTATGCTAACATAAATTTATTCGTTGTTCATCAAGTTTTTTTTTTTTTCCAAAATAGGAAAAATGTTTACTAACAGTAGTAGTAATAATCGTTCCACTACAGGTGGTAGTAGTGGATATGAATTTAGTGTTAATGATGTATGTGATCGATTAGAAAAAGAATTTACACATATGCAAGGTGAACGAGCACAATTACGTATTGAATGTGAAAAATTAACTGCAGAAAAAAATGAAGTACAAAGACAATATTGTCTTTATTATGAAATGGCATATCGTTTATCATATGAAATGCATAAACAATCAGAAATAACAAAACGTTTAATAGCATTATTACATCAAATCATTCCTTATTTAACACCTGAACAACAAGCACATGCATTACCTGCACTTGAACGTGCTAAACAAGTTACAATAAATGATCTTAACAGGTAAACTATTAGATTGTATTTGTGTTTGTTTTTTTTTTTTGAAAAGTAATTAGAGAAAGTATAGAAAAATGTTTTTATTTTCTTGATATGTGGATTTTTTTTTGGTTTTGTTTTTTTTTCTTTTTTATTGAAGTGTGATTCAACAACAATTTCATGCACAAGCAACAGCAGTTGCTCTTGCTGCTGCTTCAAATTCATCACAAACTGGTTCTGGTCTTCCACCATTACCTGGTGGAATTCCTGGTTTACCTGCTGGTCTTGGTTCAAGTCCTCATCTTCAATTACCCGGTCCACCAGGTCTTCCAGGTGCTGGTGCCGGTCTTCCACCAGGCATGCTTAATTATACATCAGTATTAAGCAGTTTAGCTTCTCAATATGCACCAGGTATGAAAGAAGAAGGTGGTTCATCAATATCAAAAGAAAATGCTTCATCACCACGAGCTAATAATAGTGATTTAACATTGGGAACAAAAGGTACAACAAGTAGTAGTCGATCATCAACAAATGGAAAATCATCTAAACATCGACCATCAAGTAATAGTAGTAATATGCCTAAACCAATAAAACCATCAACAACAGAAAGTGATGGTGAACGAAGTGAATCAGATTTAGTTATTGATACAAGTATTGGCAATCCAAAACATACCAATGGTAGTAGTAATGCTGGTGGTGGACTTCTTTTACCAAATGGAATTAAATCAGAAATTGCTGATAATACAACAGGTTCAATAACAACTAATGAAACTATGCCAGCAACACCACCAGTATCGTCAGCGAATGGTGGTAGCAGTGGTGGTGGTGGTGGTGGTGGTGGAGGTTCATCAAAAACTCGACGTGATCGAAGTCCTATGTCTGATAAAGATAATTCACAAAGAAATAGTATGTCATCATCTGCTATTAAAAAAGAACGAAATACACCACAACCGAATAAATCAATGACACCAACAACAGGATCGAATGTTGGACCACCAAATGTTGGTGCTCCTCAACTTCAACCAGGTGGTCCATTAGGTTTACCACCTGGACTTGCTGGACGTATACCAACTGGTGCTCCATTTGGGTATGTTTTTGTTCAATACTATCTATATACATATTAATGATTTTTTTAACTGTTTTCTATTTTATTTAGTTTTAATCCAGGTCCGTTTTCTTCACCTGAAGCATTAGCAGCTGCATTTGGTGCACTTGGTCCACATCATGGAAATCCATTAAATCCATTTGGTCCATTTGGCCATCCATTCGCACCAGCGGAAGTAGCCCAAGCAATGGCTATGGCAGCTCAACATCAACATGCGCAACAAATGGCCCAAGCACAAGCAGCCGCTGCTGCAGCTCAAGCAGCAGCTGTTGCAGCAGCACAACGACAACAACAACAACAACAGCAACAACAACATGGATCTAGTAATCATCATCATTTAATGAATCAAGCTTATTCATTTTTTACTACAACCGATGGTCAAGGTAATCCAGTAACAACACCTGTTAATATGACACCTGAAGCATTAACTGGTCCTAATATACCAACATCAGCACGAGAATTAGCTACATTAATGCATGGTGAAGTTGTTTGTGCAGTAACTATTAGTGAACCATCAAAACGCATTTATACTGTAACTATAATTAAAATATTAAGAATTAATCAATTTTTTATATATTATTTTTTCTTTCTAATAGGGTGGTAAAGGTTGTGTTAAAGTTTGGGATCTCAAACAAACAGGCACTGTTCGAACACCATTGTCTTATTTTAAATGTCTTAATGATGATAGTTATATACGTTTTTGTAAATTACTTGCTGATGATCGTACACTTGTTGTTGGTGGTGAAGCAAATGTTATATCGATTTGTGATCTATCAGCAGTTACAGGTGGTTCAGCAAGTAATACTCGTTCATCAACACCAAATTCAAATGCATCATCACCAACACCATCTAATCAACCACCATTATCAACATCACCAAGAATAAAAGGCGAATTAAAATTAACTGCTCCAGCTTGTTATGCACTTGCAATTGGTCCATCGGATTCTAAACTTTGCTATTGTTGTTGTTCAGATGGTTCAATAGCTATTTATGATATTCATAATCAATCACTTGTTAAATCTTTTGTTGGACATGGTAAGTTTCTAAGTTTGTATTTTCTATTTAAATGATCAATTATTTTGTTTTTGTTTAGCTGATGGAACATCATGTATTGATATAGCACCTGATGGTCGTACAATGTGGACAGGTGGATTAGATAATACAGTTCGATGTTGGGATCTTCGTAATGATTATGCACCATTACAAACATATGAATTTGATTCACAAATTTTTACATTGGGATATTGTCCAACAGGTGAATGGCTTGCTGTTGGTATGGAATCATCAACTGTTGAATTAATTAATATATCATCAGCAACAAGTAATTCATCAAGTCCATCAATGAAAAAGAATCATGATAAATATACACTTAGTTTACATGAAAGTTGTGTTTTAGCACTTAAATTTGCTCATCAAGGTAAATGGTTTATATCAGCTGGAAAAGATAATTATATACATTGTTGTCGTACACCAACTGGTCTTCTTTTATTTCAATCAAAAGAATCATCAAGCGTTCTTTGTTGTGACATTTCAGCTGATGATAGATATATTTTGACAGGTTCAGGCGATAAAAAAGCCACACTCTATGAAGTCACATATTGAATTCTTTTTTGTTGGTCTGTGTGTGTGTGTGTGTGTAATCTTCTTTTTTTCTTCTGAATGTTGTCTGTTAATAGTGACTGTGTTCTGTTTTTGTCAAAAATCTTTTTTTTTTTCTTTTCTCTTTTTCATTCATTATCTTGTACATAATGTACCATTAGACAGTTAGTAGAATCGATCTGCGCTATGTTTCTGTCTATTTTACAAACAGGCACATAGATCTATGTTCTTTCTTTCTCAAATATGTGCTTGCTACGCTCCTTCTCATTTTGTGCGTGTGTGTGTGTGTGTCTAATGTCTATTACTACACAACAAACATTCGTCGTCTTCTTCTTTTTTCATATATTCATTTATGTATTTGTCAATGAATTTAATATGGAGGATGATGAACAAAACAAAAAAAAAAAAAAGAAAAGAAATTTCTTGCAATGATAGTTTATTAAACTGATGAAAAAAAAAAAAGCAGAACAATTGTTTATATATTATTTCAAAAGAAAAATGAATACAAATTAACAAAGTTTTTTTTTTTTGCTTTTTTGTACGATTTGAATTCATTTTATATTTGAATCTCATATAAATAGTTTATTTCTTAATACATATGAATATGAATTATTCAGATTTAAATTCAAGATAGTAATTATTAATAACACAACCTATAACGAATGATGACTTAAAAATTAATATATAATTTTTTTTTTTGTTTTCAATATAGACATCTTTCCATTGATTTGAATAATAATTCTTTCTTTCATGGTTACTTTTATTATGATATCAAAAAAAAAAAATACAATTACGAAATAGTTTGTTTTTCTTGATATCTTTTCTATAAGTTTGAGAAATTGTACAGATCGTAAAAAAATATGATTGAAATATTAATAATAATTTCATGTTGATGAAAAATAATTTTTTTAATTATCTCATTAAATATTTAAAACCTCCTTCTAGATTATATATTTATATTAAACAAGACAAAAAGAAAAAAGGTTTCAATGTGAAGTTTTGTTTCTTCCAATGTGACCAAATAGATGTTTATTTTTTATTGGTTAGAAAATATTATAGAAACAATTTGCATAAAAACAACGCTATATTCATCATCAATTATAATATTAGGAAACATTTGTTTGAATAGTTTTAAAAAAAAAATATTATGAAAATATTATTTTGATTTGTAACAATAAATTTTATGAAATATTTCTTAATTACAGTATAGTTACATCTTAGATCTAGTAGAGATTTTCTCACCGATTTCACTATGTCAGAATAATAATTACTTTACCGATATAAATAGTAACACAAATTATTTCATTCTCAAATGTTCATTTATAAATAGAATGAATCTATATTTGATCGGTAATAACGGCAACTTGGTCAAACATGATGTCCTTTATAATTAAATTATTTTAAAATATTTCTTAATTATCAATAATTATATTTCAATGAGCAA